GGGGTATTGGCTTAATTCGATCTCTGAGAAAGAGAGAGAGATAGATACTGCCAAAGGGAATAGTTCCTGTAGGGCAAACCCTTTCCCCGTCCTCTGAATCATCGTCAGGAAGTTAGGGTTCCATCTGAACTTAACCCCTTAGCCGTGTGTTGCCTAAAGGCCAATTTAAATACAAATTGGGCCCCTCTATACACAACTCGTGGTTACCGCTAAGAGTGGACTTAAGGGTCAGTCAAAAAGGCCTATAATCTCACTCTTAACAATAGTATGTAAAAACTTGTCGAATATACTAAATTAATAAAAATAATAAATTTAATCATATTTAATTATAATATTAAATATAAAATCAAATTTACATTTATTAATTTGATATATTCGACAAGTTTTTACATACTATCTTATTTGTTTTGCATTGAATTCCAGAAAAATCTTCTATTTATCTTATAGTATAATAATATTATTAAAAATAATAATAATATAATATTAATACTCTTCAGTCGGAATGTGACGAAATTTTAATGTTTTAATTATTAATATTATTAACCCTGCGTTACAAAAATGGGGTTTAATAAATCCCCAGCCGTAGAATATTTTTTTGAAAATAAACCAAACGTTAATTTATGTGCATGTCCGTCCAAATAGCTTTCCAAATATGTCCTAACCATCGAATACAGGCAGTACTCCCTTGACAACCAGAGAGGCTACACGTGCCTGATAGGTTCCGGGGTGTGTCAAACCCCACGTATGTACTGTCGTTTATATTTTTGACATAACAAGTAAATTATTTTAATTTTTTTTAGGTAAAATATTGTCCAGTTCTTACGAAGAACAAAAAAACTACAAGCACTTTGGGCTGAAGTTTATAGAGATAACGACGCTATAAAATCAGGAAGTGAAGAAGACATCGATCATATTTCTGAGAGCGAGTACAACTCCGATTCGGAACAGGATATCACAGTGGAAGATGAAGCGTAGGCGGAACTAAACCAAAATACTGATGAAGCTGATGTTTGAAACCCCGACAGGGAGACATCGGAAAGTGAAATTCAGAATGAGACAGAAGATGAAAATAATGATGGTCTTCATAGAAGCAGAAAAATGTTATATTATCTTGCAAAAGATGGATCAAAATTGAACAAGCTTCCTGCAAATTTACGTGTTCAAACAAGATCAGAAAATATTATTACTCGTCTTCCGGGTGTTAAGCAATATGCAAAGAACGCTAAAAATTCCATCGACTGTTGGCAACTTTTTTTTGATCATCAAATTATTGAAGACATAGTGCGATGGACCAATGTCAAAATTCAGTAGAAATCCATTGCTTATCAAAATAAATCCATGGTAAAACCAACTCTAATGTTCCTAAAATAAAAGCATTTATCAGTTTACTTTATTTGGCAGGAATGTTTCATTTTAATCGGCAGAATTATTTCGCAATACTATGTCTGTAAACCGTTTTCAATTTTTAATGGTTTGTCTTCGCTTCGATAACATCGATAATCGTAAAGAGAGAGTTGCGATCGACAAATTAATTGCTATACGTGGACTTATGGACAAATTTATCGATCAATGTAAGCTGTCTTACACTCCATCACAGTATGTAACAATAGATGAAAAGTTGGAGTCTTTTCATGGAAGATGTTCCTTCAAGCAGTACATGCTCAACAAACCTGCAAAGTATGGGATCAAAATGCAAGCCTTAGTTGATGCCCGTTCCAACTACGTTTTGAACTTTGAAGTGTATCCAGGAAAGCAGCCAGAAGGACCATTCAATCTTAGTAACTCTTCAACTGATATTGTAAAGAGACTTATACAACCTATTACTGGTTCCAACCGAAATGTCACGTTTGATAACTGGTACACTAGTCACGAATTGATGATGAAATTACTAAAAAAAAACATAAACTTACTTCAGTAGGTACGGTAAGAAAAAACAAGCGATGCATTCCAGCACAGTTTTTGACAGTCAAGAACAGAGAATCAAAGACAACTTTATTTGGCTTTCAAAAAGATATTACACTATTATCCTGGAAATCGCTGTAGTCCAAATTAATATATCTGTTTGTAAAAACGTGATCATATGTATGTGTGTGTGTAAGAATAAAAATGTACTGTTGATGTCTACAATGCCCCATGATGCCGCTATTGATGAAGCAACTAAGAAAAAATTACCCGAAATTATAAGCTTTTACAACTTCACCAAAAGTGGAGTCGATGTAAATGAACTCTCTGCATCATACAATGTGTCGAGAAATTCACGCCGATGGACTCACCAAGGCTGCTGTGTTACCCGAACCTACGTTCGATCCGGTTTCGAAGTAACACATAACCCCACTTTTCAACCGCATTTATTAGTTTTCTTTTATTATTGTCCGAGTAAGTCAAATCGCTAGGTAAAGTTATTAAAAAGTGTTAGGAGTGTAACCCCGTGCATGGGGGAGCCCTCGGGGGCAGCCATACCGTCGGGTAAACCGATATCCGTCGCGAAAATCGCGGAACCCAAATCCGAACTCTCACAACGCCTCTCGAGTCGGGTAAAAGCCTACAACAAGCTTATCCAAGAAAGCCGCGAGAACTATATACATAACCCCAACATTTCAAGGAATAGAATAAGGATAATTATATCTAGCAGCATAAAAACCGTGAGAACTGAGGACCTAACCAATAACCAAGGTGAAAAGTCCAGTACTGCAGGAGACCCACGGTAAAATTTCCAAAAAATAAAAAGTATGGAGAAAACTGATGGGCAAATCATTTACTCTAAAGACCGAAGACACAGCACCGGCGAAACACCCAAAAGCTCCAACATTGCACAAACTACCTCTCGAGCCGAAAAATCGACTTTAAATAATCTCAAAAGTATGGAGAACGCACACAGCTACAGCGGGCAGGACAGCAGCCAAAAAAGTATGGAGAACGCGTTCCACTTACTTTCGCAAGGCCAAGAAACCGGATATTCAAAACCGAGCGAGGACAGTGAAATGGCTGTCGATAGCTCCGAAAACAGCTCGATCGGCGAAAATAGTGCCCACACGGCCAAAAAAGTCAGGAGAAACTCACCAAAAGGCCCAAAAACCGATTCCTCCGAAAGTTCGGAGAACGAAAGCAGCGACCAACAATCGAACCGCGCGGACGAGCCCAGAAGCGTCGAGCAACAATATCTCGATAGCACAGACAAGGACGAGCTCGAAGACACCGGTTGCCAAATCTAGAGAATTTCTCGAAAGTATGGAGAAAGCTAAAAATAGTGAAAGTATAGAGAAAGCTGAAAATCTCGAAAGTTTGGAGAAAATTACAAATTTCAAATTTACATCAAAATACCCAAGCCACGACTACAAAAAGACCGAAGACACTTTCGTGTCGGAATTCTCAATCCCTTCAGCTGAAGGGCTGAAAATCACAATCAGACAGAGCGACGTACGACAGTTGCTGAAACAAAATATAATGGCATATAACAGCGGGCAAGATCTCTCAGGGGAAGAAAACCAATCCCCTAGGTTTAACCAATTAGTAGTAGCACCCATAATCCACCCCTACCCGATCAACCAGCAGTACTAACCCTCCCAGATGGCAGAACCCAACCTCTTCCCCCAAAACCTACAGCATACAAGCCCAGACCACAAGTATTACAAATTAAAAATTTAAAAAAACCGACTTCAAAAACGTGCAGATGCCATCACCACATTTTAACCAAATTTATATGGGACCACCCCTGAGGTACCCCCTTACTAACAAAAAAAGAATCGTATAAATCGGACAAGGTGGTAAAGCATTATCGCTAAACATACATAACAAGTATTACAAATTAAAAATTTAAAAAAAACGACTTCAAAAACGTGCAGATGCCACATCTTAACCAAATTTATATGGGACCACCCCTGAGGTACCATCTTACTAACAAAAAAAGAATCGTATAAATCGGACAAGGTGGTAAAGCATTATCGCTAAACATACATAAAAAATGAAGAGTTTGAGGATTTTCTCATGGATCCAATTATTAGATTTTGACAAAATTTATATGGGATCACCCCTACAGTAGCCCCTTTCTAACAAAAAAAGAATTATTGAAATCGGACACCGTGTTAAAAAATTATCGCTGAACATACATAAAAAATGAAGAGTTTGAGGATTTTCTCATGGACCCAATTATTAGATTTTGACTAAATTTATATGGGACCACCCCTGAAATACCCCCTTTCTAACAAAAAAAGAATCATTGAAATCGGACACCGTGTTAAAGAATAATCGCTGAACATACATAAAAAAAAAAAAAAATATCGCGACGAATTGATAACCTCCTCCTTTTTTGAAGTCGGTCAAAAAATGAAGACTGAGGATTTTCTCATGGATCCAATTATTAGATTTTGACCAAATTTATATGGGACCACCCCTAAAGTAGCCCCTTTCTTACAAAAAAAGAATTATTGAAATCGGACACCGTGTTAAAAAATTATCGCTGAACATACATAAAAAATGAAGAATTTGAGGATTTTCTAATGGACCCAATTATTAGATTTTGACTAAATTTATATGGGACCGCCCCTAAAATACCCCCTTTCTAACAAAAAAAGAATCATTGAAATCGGACACCGTGTTAAAGAATAATCGCTGAACATACATAAAAAAAAAATATCGCGACGAATTGATAACCTCCTCCTTTTTTGAAGTCGGTTAATAAACAGACCCTATACCCGCTATTGAAAAAACACCCCTACTACCTACCTCCCCTAACAGCACATTCTCGCTACAAAGGAATAAGAAAAACACCGATATGAGAGATCAGAACAGGATCGAAGTAATGTCGCCTGATGAGAACATGGACACTCAGGATTTTGTTTCACCCCCTAAAATGAACGGACACCTAAAAAGAGACAGCAGTTAATTTTTTGATTTTTGCTTAATAAACTGCACATTTTTTCTTCATGTGCACTAGAAGTTTTCATTTACAATTGTATTTGTCGAGATAGGATGTTTTTTTACTTTAAAATTATTTTTTAGTTCGGGTTTGTTTTTTGGTTTACAGAAAATATCATTTTTCAGTTTTTTCTATTTTTTTTTAGTAAAGCTATTTTGGATCTTCATTTTGTGTTTGAGCTTTTTTTGTAATTATTTGTAACTTTGTAGTGAAAGTGGGCAAGGCCCGTAAATAAATAAAATAAATTAAAAAAATTAGATCATGTATTTCTAAAATGCAAATTCTATCAATTTATTAATTAGTCATCATTTCGGTTAAAATACAGTAAAAACTTTTATAAATTACTAATACTAGTACTCATCCGTTAAAACTTTTTTTTTGATTCATTTATCGCAAATTAATTCACACAAGTTAGAACCCACCTATAATACCTGTACATTATAATTCAAAATAAATTCTAACCTCATTTGAGACAACTAATAAATAGGAATCTTCTTGGTAATCGTTTTCCTGCACATATGGCAAATCTTTAAAGTGTCCGCGCATTTCGAGCAAGTGCTGTGTCCGCATAAAAATACAACGTTTCGTTTGCGTTCCATGCATATACTACAAGCGTGACTTTCCTCGATTTCTTGAATTTTGCATTCGAGGTATCGCATGCGCTCCGCACTCGGTTGTCGGCTTTTCGCCGGGATGACTCTGCCATCTTTGGTGACCCTTTTTTGAACCGGTTGGCCACACTGCAGGCATTTTTTCATTCGGGAGGAGCAGTCTTCACAAGCCGGTTTGTGATTGCAAGGTTCGAGACGGACGTTTTCTTCGGATAATTCGGAACAAACTAAACATTCCACCGGCTTATTGGGTATTTGGTTAGCGGTACGGTTGTCTTGAGAAGTGCCCACTTTATCTGAAACGAAGTTCCATATATTTTTAAAGACAATTTGATAGAAGGTAATTTAAAAACTAGGGCAAGAGAAATAATTCTCATAAAACACTTAATAATCTGTCAGATTGAGTAAGTAACATAATTTAAACATTCTTGGGATAAAAGCTTGGTAGGTATATTTTCTAAAAATGCCTAGTTGAACGAGTTTGAACAAAAGGACTTATTTTTGCAAAAACTTCAGGACAATTTATCTACCATTTATAATGCAACGTTAATTTATTTATTAACTTTATTTCTACTCCGTTACATATCAAATACTTATTAATTTATATTAACAATAATAATGTGCTCACAACGATATATCAACATGAACTCCCTTTTCAACAGCAAAAGAGTTAATTTATAACCAAATGTTGCACTCCAGATCTGCCTCGAAAATTCTAGACGCCCTTCCTGTATCTCAACCGGACTGGTTGAAAAATATAATAATAAATTATGTATCTCTGTTTTCGCATAGTTTTCAAGGAAGGGATGTTCAGAAATTGTTTCGTTAAATCATTCACAATAAACACCAAATGTAAGATATATATTTGCGAAAATTATGCTGAACATTGTCTATTTTCCTACTATATGTTATATACAAATGGCTTGCACCAAAACTGAAAAGTGTTCTATGAAATAGTGAACATAATAATAGAAAATGAAAATACAAATATTTGAATTTGAATAGAAAATATGAGCTAATAATGGTTTATTACTTCTACCAAGAACCATAGTGTAGGTAGGAATTTGACCCATTATATTTGGAAAACAAGTGGTCTTGGTACCTGTGAACTTAAAAATGCAATACTTGAAACAGAAGCGGCTGTATAGTTAGCGTTGGTAATTGAGTTGCAATAAATATACAGAAATTTATCTAACATTTATTAGAAACTCTTGTATTCTCTAATATGCATGACCATTATGGGTACAATGATGACTTTTTAAACCAAAGCTCTATTTCATTTAAATTGTATTAATATGTGTGAGTAGAAGGTTACAAATTCATCGATTTTTCCCTAGATCTGGGGAAATTTGACAAATCTGGTAACACTGCGCCGAGGAGCTGAAGGCGAATCAACTAACCCAAACTTTGTCAAATCTGACAACACCGTACCGAGGAACTAAAGGAAAGTCAACTAAACTAACTGTCAATCAAAAAACTTAACTTACCTTACAACCAGTAAATCTGGCAGCAGCGCAACGAGGAGCTGAAGATTACAGAAGCTTATGCAGAAGCTGAAGAAGTGACGTAGGGCCGTTGATGTAACTAATAGGTAAGTCATTATTTGTCGATTTAATTAAAAGGTGTTGAATACTTATCAGCAAGCGGGTGTCGTCGTTGACGTACATACGAGGTAAACGAAAAAGGCAAAAAAGCCACTTAGACATGTCAACTGTCGTAATGAAAAAATAGGAAGTCAAAAGGGCCATTTCTAGGACTAAGTGACAACTGCTAGTAGGACAGATAAATTCATAGAAATTTACAGAAATTTATAGAAATTTATAGAAATTTATAGAAATTTATAGAAATTTATAGAAATTTATAGAAATTTATAGAAATTTATAGAAATTTATAGAAATTTATAGAAATTTATAGAAATTTATAGAAATTTATAGAAATTTATAGAAATTTATAGAAATTTATAGAAAAATTTATAGAAATTTATAGAAATTTATAGAAATTTACAGAATTTTATAGATATTAATAGAAATTTATAGAAATTCTTAGTAAATCATAGACATTTATACACAGATATAAGTTATTCACCTTTTCAGGGTAGTTTGCCCAGATTACAATAGTAACTTAGGTCATTACCCTTGTTGACAACTACGACCACACTGTCTAGTTATATGTGTCTATGAATTTCTATGACTATACATTTTTAAATTTCTATAATTTTTTTTTAAAACTTCTATGATTTTTTTTAATTTCTATGATTTTTTTATAAATTTCTATGATTTTTTTATGAATTTTTATAAAATTTCTATAAATTAATTATTGTAAATTTGTATGAATTTCCATGAATTTCTATGAATTTCTATGAATTTCTACGAATTTCTAAGTATTTCCATGAATTCCTATGAATTTTTTTTTACAAATTTCTATTCATTTCTATGAATATCTACGAATTTCTACAAATTTGTATTTCTATGAATTTCTATGAAATTCTATGAATTTCTGTGAATTTCCATTTTGTATTTTTATGAATTTGAATTTCTACGAATTATTTTCTTCGAATTTCTCTGAATTTCTTTGACATTCTTTGATATTCTTTGACATTCTTTGACATTCTTAGATATTCTTTGATATTCTTTGATATTCTTTGATATTCTTTGATATTCTTTGATATTCTTTGATATTCTTTGATATTCTTTGATATTCTTTGATATTCTTTGATATTCTTTGATATTCTTTGATATTCTTTGATATTCTTTGATATTCTTTGATATTCTTTGATATTCTTTGATATTCTTTGATATTCTTTGATATTCTTTGATATTCTTTGATATTCTTTGATATTCTTTGATATTCTTTGATATTCTTTGATATTCTTTGATATTCTTTGATATTCTTTGATATTCTTTGATATTCTTTGATATTCTTTGATATTCTTTGATATTCTTTGATATTCTTTGATATTCTTTGATATTCTTTGATATTGATATTCTTTGATATTCTTTGATATTCTTTGATATTCTTTGATATTCTTTGATATTCTTTGATATTCTTCGATATTCTTTGATTATCCTTTGAATATCCTTTGATATTCTGTGATATTCTTTGACTTAGTCCTAGGAATGCCCTTTTTGGTTGCCTATTTTTTCGTTGTAACTCCTGACATGTCTTCAGAGATATAAGTGGCTTTTTGAAATTTGTTTGCCTCGTAGGTATGTACGTCAATGACGACCCCCTCTTGCTGATAGGTAGACAACACCTACTACACCAGTCGATGAATGATGACTTAGCTGTTAGTAACGTCGAGGACCCTTCGTCACTTCTTCAGCTTCTCCAGCAGCTTCATGAATATCTTCTTTTCTTCAGCTCCTCAGTGCACTACTGCCAAATTTACTGAGTATATGGTAAGTTTTGTTTTTTTTTTTATTAAAAGTTGATTAGTTGACTTTTCTTTAGCTCCTCAGTGCGGTGTTGCCAGATTTAACAAATTTTCCCAGATCTAGGGGAAAATCGATGAATTTGCATCCAAGTCAACACCTTTCTACTTATTTGTTACATATGTATGTGTGTGTGTCTTTAAAGTGTAATTAGAGTACACAACTTAAAGAAGTATTATTTATTATGTTAAAAGGTGTTGACAGACGAGAAACAGCTGTTTTTATCCAAAATCCCATGACAACATAGTTATATTTTTGAAGTACATTAAATTTTAATATATTCATTATAGAATTACCAGCAAAACCTATTAAACTATTTAATAATTTTGGAATTGTAACTTTCCAAATACACAATTTATAGACTTACCCCTATCTACCCTCTGTCGACTCCTTCTACTACTAGTCTCATTACTGGGATTAGCTTTTGAAGGTGTATCAGGCAAATTATATCCCTCTCGTTGATTATCAGCCAAACTTAGGTTTTCTAAATTGCACACATCTTGTTGGTTAGTATCTACTTGATTATTTTCTAAGGCTATGGGTTTGTAACTTTTTACGAGCTCTTGCAAGTGTTCATCCTGAAACGGACAACAATTAAACGCGTAATTCCTACAAAAAATTGTTTTTTATCACTGAAAACTTACTTGGAGCAAACTTAACGCCGTCTGGCTCTTACTATTGGTAGCATCTATGTCAATACCCATTTGTACCAGAAAACAAGCTATCGATATGCCCAATCGACATTCTTGAAAATGCCCTAAATTCTTATAAATCGAATAAATTCCCGGACTATCATCACGATTAGCTTCGCCGGTAATATGGTTTAGCTTGGTCAAAGCAAGGTGTAGCGCGTCATCTTCATCTTCGTCTTTGGCATTAATATTTGCTCTCAGTCTGACGAGTAGTTCAATTACCCCACAATGTCCTAAAATACATTAATGGTGACAAAATACTTAGAAAAAATAGTGCTCCCATGAAATTTAGTTAACTGATGTAAAATAATTTAAAAAATTCTGATAATAATAGTTATTTGAATAAATTAAGTAAATATAATAATAATAATAATAATGATGATGTTTATTTACCAGCAATATATACATTCAGATACAATAAAATAAAATCCAATAGGAAATAAAATGTAAATAAACAAGAAATGTGTCACTGAATCTGCTCACTGTACAAAGTACAATGACAGATTGTGTGTGACAAAAAATACGACAAAATAAAAATAAATAAAACTTATAACAATACAATAGTAAAAATTTAAAAATATGAAGCAATTAAAATACAAATTATTAATATAAATAAAAGTTATATAAGTATAAGTAACAGTGGCGGCTCGTGGTTTAATACTTTGGGGGGTGCACAACCTTAGAATGAAAAAGTAGAGCCGCAGGCGAAAATTTTTGCACATTTCAAGGTCAAATACCTTAGATGAAAAGTAGAAAATTACATAAGTAAAAAAAAACTCGTTAAAATGTGGGTTTCCTTCGGTAATTCTTCCGTTTAATTGGATTGAAAAATTGAAAAAAATTTAACATACAAAAATAGGTAACCAATTAGGTAATACATATTATACAAAATGAACATGTAAATTAAATGATCTAATATTGGATTTATTTAAAGAGAAAATCCATACGACGATCTTTAGCAGTAGTAAACTTATCAATAACCCTCTGATTGAAATCGGGTATGCTTTCAATAAGATCCCTTTCTTTAGAAAGCATTGCCAATGCAGAAAGTCTTTCTTGGCACATGGTATTTCTTAAAAATGTTTTAATTCGTTTAAGGGTTGAAAAGCACCGTTCTGCTTCAGCAGAAGCCATAGGAATGGTAATTAAAATTTTTATAAGTTTTAGAGTTTCACTAAAAGTTTCACTTAACTCGATATTTTGAGAGATAAAGTCATAAAGCACAAGGAGTCCCGAAACTGATTTAAGTTCTTCTGTATCATAAATGACGGTTAATTCTGTACGGAGTTTTTGCTCGATGAAAAATGGGTAATTTTTTATTGTCTCTTTAAATTTTTCTTCGGGAAAACAGGTACTATATTGGCCATATTCTTCTGGAAAGAAGAGACTGGCTGCGACTAGGTGGCCTGTGAAGCTGAATCGTTCTTTTGCTTGACAAATAATAATATCACAAACTTCTTTTGCTTCTCGTGAAAATTCCGCAGAGTCATCCAGCTTATGCCGCTTTGAATTAGATGAAGTCGGCTCAATGTCATCTAAAGTGATGCTATTTCTAATTTCTGTTAATTTAGTTTCAAATGATAATATAAATTTTTTTGCGATAACAGCGTCAATTTGTCTTGTTTGAAACTTACCAAATAACAAGTCAACATGTGGCATTATCTTGTAAAATAAGTTTAACCAGGACACAAAACTTTTGCTTTTAATGATTTTGACATATCCTGATGCTTGGTTGGTAGTACTTACGTTTCTACTTTCATTTAGAAGAGTTTCCATTGTCTCCAGAATGCCGTCTTTGTACTCAAATACGGTACAAACCACTCTGGGTTTAAAATTCCATCTGGTCGGGGCTGAACGTGGTAAGCGTTTTTTAACGATTTGATCTAGAATTGCAGATCTCTGAGGACTACTTGAAAAAAAAGTACAAATTCCTTGTAAATTTGCAAAAAAAATTCGGACATTTTTGTTTGCTGAAGCCGAGTTTAACATTACCAAATTTAATTGATGTGCATAACAATGCACGTATGCAGCGTGTTCATACGTTTTTTTAATAATCGCTTGTACCCCGTTAGAAGACCCGCTCATAACTGATGCACCATCATATGTTTGTGCAATAAGTTTGCTTCTCTTGCCTTTCACATGCTTTTCAAGTTCGGTGAGAATAACCTTAGATAAAGCTTTGTCATCATGATCTGAAGGCATTAAAAAATCCCAAAATCGTTCAACAGGCTTGCCTTTTAAAATGTATCTAAATACAATTGCCATTAGGAATTTATTTGATACGTCACTAGTTTCATCAGCAATTATAGATAAATAATCGGCATTTTCTATTTCCTTAGAAATTTCCTCTTGGCATACAGTAAACATTGTTTGTAAAATTTCATTTTGAATGGTTTTTGACGTACCTTTAAATACCGATGCTTTTTTTAGATGCTGTTTTAGAGCACCGTCTAACTCAGAACTAAAATCAATTAATCCTCGAAAAACCCCGGGATTAGAGGAAGACATCATGTCCTCTTAATGCGAGCTCGAAAGCTCCACAGAAACGCACACAATTAATTATTATGTTTAAAATGTATCGATTATGTCTCACTTGTTCATTGTGCAATTCAATATTTCGTCGATAAGCGGTACTCAATTGAGCAGCCACGTTTACAGTTCCAAAAAGTGAATATTGTAAAACATTTTTAATGTGCTTTGCTGATGATGTATGCTTTTTGATGCGGTCCCCAGAATGATTCAAGTCGGTAAACCCTATTTTTGTCCAGGAATCTTCTCCTCCGAATAGCAAACAAGGGAAACAATAAAGAGCATTTTTAATTTCACACCCACAAAGCCATGTATGTTTATTATAAAGCTCCGGGTTAAATGTTCTGGTAAAAGTCCTTTTTTTGCTAGACACAGATTGTTCTATTTTTAAATTCGGAGTAGTCCTACCAAGTCTTTTTATTTCAGCCTTATCAATTAATGATCGACCACAGAATGGGTTTGAAATTAAACTTTCAACCGAATTCATTTTTACACACAAAACAAACGAAAAAAGCGATTACGCACCACACTATAAACTAAAATCACTAATTAGCGGGCGAAATTAACAAGAAGTTTGCACTCTGCCTGCAACCTAACTGAGCTTACGGGACGAAATTTGAAATCAACGCGTAGTAACACAAACACGCGCCTATTAATATAGTCGGATTGGTTTGCATTCGATCTGCAAACTACATCGCAACGACAAAGCCGTCGCGTGGCGAGAAAATTAAAGACATTTAGGAAAAGGTGGTGAAATTGAAATTATTTCAGTCATTGACTGCTCCTCGCATATAAATGTAGGTACAGAATTTTGGTATGAATTTAAATAAATATAATTGTAGTTCTTTTGTTATTTTACCAAAATTTTTTGGGGGTTGCGCAAACCTGCAAACCTAAGGAAGAGCCGCCACTGATAAGTAAAAGTAATAAATAAATAAAAGTAGTATTTGGATTTTTTAATCGATGTTGTGAAAATCAAATTCAATTATAGTCAATTATTATATAGTTTAGAGTAACAACAAATTTAAACACAAATTTCATTAGTTTAGCTATAAAAATAATCTTATTAATAATTTAAATGTGAAGTTATCCGAAAAATAAAAACCTACCTTGGCTAACGGCTAATAACAGTGCAGACTGATTTCGATTATTTCTCAAATCGATATCGGCTTGACCCATTCTGACTAACGTTTCTACGACATCTTTGTGTCCGTTCAAAGCCGCTAAATGAAGCGCCGAAAAACCGTCGTCCTTTTTCACGTCTACTAGTTGCCTGGCTACGCTGAGCAACTTTCTAGTGGCGAAAGTTTTTCCTTTCAACGCGGCATGGTGTAATACGTTGAAGCCGCGTTTGTTTCTTAGAGTAAAATCAGTACCTAAAAATATTTATAATAATAAAACAGTTTTATTTTCGATAATAATAGAATTTTTATTTTTTTAATAATTACAAATATAAAAGTAAACAAACAAAAATACCAGGAAATCGATTGTTAAAATATAGATTAAAAATGATATTCAATAAATTTATTAAAACAATATTGGTTACAATTTACAATTCAGATAAGCATCTACAATCAGAATACGTATGTAGTGTCGAGATAGGCGCCTACTAGACATGGGTAACGCAGCGCTGCGTTGCGTTATTGCGTTAACGCAGTTGTATGCGTTATGAGCGTTGATACACCAGCTGTTACTGTATCAGCGCAACGGAATTTTCACTACTGAGTCGAAAGGATCGCGAGTTGTTGGTGCGCCATGCGCCAGGCACTGATTCCGTTTTCCGTGACGAGTTGAGAATTTTAATTTACGTAATTGATGCAACTCGTAATGCAGATTACCCAAAATCTATCAAGTAATTATGTTCTTTGCAACATGTCACATCATTTTTTGTAGGATTGTAGGTCGAATTTTATGGATTTTAACCTTGTAGGTACACTGTCAGTTTTTAGTTCTTCCTATTTTGATTGGCTACTAGTATACAAAAATTATATCCTTTTTATATAAATTGAAATTTTTGTATTCTTTGTAAAATCCGAACACAATGAAATAAAAAATGGGTGCATTACACTGTTATATTTTCGTTTATTTTTAAACATATAATTTAGCTAAATTCCCAATTGCATTATTGCCTTGAACACGGTTTGACCCTTATAAAAGGACAGCCCGCGCTGAATAACACCGGTATCATGCGATACACCGAGGTGCATCGACTTCATTCGGCGCAGGCAGTGGTGTGACGCAATAACGCAATTGCGTTAACGCAATGAGTTGGCGCAATAGAGTGCGCCGGAGTTAGTGTATCAACGCAAAGAATTTTAGTGCGTTACCCATGTCTAGCGCCTACAGTCGGGATAATCGTTTTAAATAGGGAACGTTTGTCACTAATTAGAATTTTTTGTGTCTATTTTATCAGTTTTTTTTTTCTAATTTAGATTTTTGCTGATAATGATTATTTCCACACTGTCCCAGTCATTTAGAAGAGTATTTTGATTCCTAGAACACCTAGAGAATCCACTAAAAAATTACAGCCATGAAGTAGTTGTTCACAATATTTATTAATTTGAATTTGTAACAGCTGAGGTTCCTTCATATATCTAATTTATACGAAAATAAAAGAAACTCTTAAAGGAAATGTAGCTATGAAGACGACGTCCAAAATTTAGCTCACAATGCGATTTTTTGTAGTTTTTAACACCTTGAACACCTGGAGAAGGTACTTAAAAATCTCAACCATGATGAAACTGTCCACAATATTACTTAATTTTGAAAAAAATAAAACTTTAAATATGCATATCTCGTTGAGAGAACTCATTTCGTAAAGAATACTGCTAGTTCTGATATAAAATCATAGAAATGAATTGGGCTATGGCGAAGACGTCCAAAATTTAATTCTAACACGATTAATTTGCAATTATTTGTCGTTTTTGATACCTGGAACACCTGGGAAATCCGCTAAACAATATTTATTAATCTCGAGTCCCTTACAAGATCAATTTGTTCGAAATTAATACACACTTTGGAAGAAAATAAGGAAGAAAAATACATGCAGACGATGTCCAAGATTTATCTCACAATAAGATATTTTTGTAACTTTTATACTGTTTTTAACATTTTGGAAAACCTGGAGAAAGTACTAGAGTCAACTATGACGAAGCTGTCGACGATATCAATTGTTTTAATTTAAAAAATTTAACGTTTTTAATATGCAATTAATTTCGTAGAAAATAACGCCTGTTAAAAAAATCATAGAAATAAATTTGGCTATGGAGAAACGTCCAAAATTTAAGCTTAATTTATAACCGCCGTAACGTAACTTAAGAACTTAACGTAAGAAGTTGAAATATTGAATTTACGTATACTTATTTATAATGTTCGTAACGTAACTTAAGAACTTAACGTACCGTAGAAAGTTCACTAACTTTTAACTTAACAACATAACTTAACTTAAGGCCTTACGGTTAGCCAATGAGATAATTCTGCGTTCAGCATGTGATAACAACTGTCAATTATTCTCTTTTTATTTTTTTTTTATAAATAAATAAAAAAATACCATTTGTAAACTATCATTCTCCTTTTTGATGGACATACATTATCATGAATGATTTGTGTTTATGTTATTGGGGATAAACTATCTATGAGATATGAGTGTAGCTGCATATACCTATAAACATCAAGTCTAGAACTGAAATAAGACAAAACTTTTTTGCTAGGAAAGATTAAATTCTCATTATTGCTCAGAAACAATCAACCTTCGGTAAACTATTTTGTTTTATTATATTTTTATATTATTGCTTTTAAAGTAAATATATTCTTTCTATATAGCAAAATCATAATTTATAAGTTTTATTTAGAGGTTAAGTACATAGTTTACACTTGTTTATTTCATAAGGTTGTCAATAATTTGATAATCTCTGAAATCAACACGCATGCTCAACTCTTACGTTACGGACATTTATAAATAGACTTTATTTTTATATCTTAGGTTAAGTTTCTACGGCGTTAAGTTAAGTTACGTTACGGTGGTTATAAATTATACTTTAATCGTAGCGCGATTAATTTGTACTTGAATCAGTTTATGCAGAAACGACACACGTCCATTTTTGCCTTAAAATGGATTATGCCAAAAAAACGATTCTACACAGATAGATACACCGTAAAATGAATAAACAGCACATGTCCAGATTATATCTTAGCTGAAAACGATTAGTAATAAAAGTTATACTTTGCAGAAACAACACAAGTCCCGGACATGTGCGGTTTCTACTAAACAGGAGGTTCGCACAGCTAGGAAAACCTGCTACAGAATTACCCATTGAATCTGCTTATCCATTGGGTGCTGTCCCAATAAAAGCAAACAAGTTGGAACATATAAGAAAATGTGCAGCTTTTGTAGAAGAGGAATACCAAGAATTTTATAGTTCTATACTTCAATGGTCAACAACCACTGATTAAGTGTGCAAACTAGTTATTTCTGTTTTTTAATAAAATCGTTTATATTTTGAAAAAAGCCTATTATTTTTGCCTTAGGCTCTGCAGTAACCGTACATGTCCATTTATTCAAAAGATCATACAAACCAAATTTTTTACTTAATAATCAAACTTAGTGTTTCAATATGTTTCCACCTAACCTATATATGTTTTAAAGTTATTACATCAAAGATAAATTCGCTTAAAAAAATAGAATGTTTTTTCATTTTCCCAAAATTTAAAATTTTGGATATGTGATATTTCTGCATAAGCCGATTCAATTATTTGTCGTTTTTGATTTCTGGAACATCTGCAAAATCCGATAGAAAATGTCAGCCATGAAGAAATTATCTACCATAACTATTAATTTTGATAAATATTTGAATTGTTAACATTTCAGGTCCTTTCCTGGATCTAATGTATTCGAAAATAAAAGAAACTCTTGAAGAAAATGTAGCTATGGAAATAACGTCCAAAATTTAACTCACAATGCGATTTGTTTGTAGTTTTTGAACGTTTTTAATGTCTAGAACACCTGGAGAAGGTACTAAAAATCTCAACCATGGCGAAGCTGTCCACAATATTACTTAATTTTTAAAAAATACCACTTTAAATATGCATATCTCGTTATGAGAACTCATTTCGTAAAGAATACTGCTAGTTCTGATAAAAAAAGTCATAGATATGAATTTGGCTATGAAGAAGACGCCCAAAATTTAATTCTAACACGATTAATTTGAAATTATTTGTCGCTTTTGATACCTGGAACACCTGGAGAATCCGCTAGGAAATGTCAAGCATAAAGAAATTATCTACAATATTTATTAATATCAGGTTCCTTACAAGATCATCTTGTTCAAAATTAATACAAGCTCTGGAAGAAAATAATGAAGGAAAATGTAGCCATGCAAACGATGTCCAAGATTTATCTGACAATAAGATATTTTTTCAATTTTTTTATCATTTTTAACATCTAAAACACCTGGTGAAAGTACTAGAAAATGTCACCTATAATGAAGCTGATCACGATATCAAAAAAAATCATAGAAATTAATTTGGCTATGGAGAGGACGTCCAAAATTTAATCGTAGCGCGATTAATTTGTAATTATTTGTAGTTTTTTATAACTGAAAGATCTGCAAAATCTGATAGGAAATGTCAACCATGAAGAAGTTATCTACCATAACTATTAATTTTGATAAATATTTGAATTTTTAACATTTCAGGTCACTTTCTTGAAGAAAACGATTGAAAAATATACCCATGGCGACGACGTCCAAGATTTAGCTTACAATAAGATATTTTGTATCATTTTGTTGTTTTTGACATCTAGTACACCTGGAGAAGCAACTAGAAAATGACAGTCATTGAAGAAGTCCACAATATCTATAACTTTTGATACATTTTTGAATTTGTAACAACTCAGGTCCCTTCTAGATCTAATTTAATCGAAAATAAAACAAACACTTAAAGAAAATGTAGATATGGAGACGACGTCTAATATTTAGCTCACAATGCGATTTTTTTTTGTAGTTTTTAACACCTAGAACACCTGGAGAAGGTACTAAAAAATATCAACCATGACGAATTTGTCCACGATATCACTTAATGTTGAAAAAATAACACTTTAAATATGCATATCTGGTTATGAAAACTCATTTCGTAAAGAATACTGCTAGTTCTGATAAAAAAGTCATAGAAATGAATTTGGCTATGGCGAAAACGTCCAAAATTTAATTCTAACACGATTAATTTGTAATTATTTGTCGTTTTTGATACCTGGAACACCTGGTAAATCCGCTAAGAAATGTCAAGCAAAAGCAATATTTATTAATCTCGAGTCCCTTACAAGATCAATTTGTTCGAAATTAATACACATTTTGGAAGAAAATAACGAAGAAAAATACATGCAGACGATGTCCAATATTTATCTCACAATAAGATATTTTTGTAATTTTTTATCGTTTTTAACATCTGGAACACCTGGAGAAAGTACTAGAAAATGTCAAATATGAGGAAGCTGTCCACGATATCAATTGTTTTAAAAAAAATTAACGTTTTTAATATCCAATTCATTTTGTAGAAACTAATGCCTGTTAAAAAAATCATAGAAATTATGAGTTTGGCTATGGAGAAAACGTCCAAAATTTATTTGTAGCGCGTTTAATTTGTAATTATTTGTCGTTTTTGATATTTAGAACATCTGCAATATCCGATAGGAAATGTCAGCCATGAAAAAGTTATTTACCATAACTATTAATTTTGATAAATATTTGAATTATTAACATTTTAGGTCACTTTCTGGAAGAAAACAATGAAAAAATATACTCATGGCGACGACGTCCAAGATTTAGCATACAATAAGATTTTTTTGTATAATTTTGTTGTTTTTGATATCTAGTACACCTAGAGAAGCCACTAGAAAATGACAGTCATTGAAGAAGTCCACAATATGTATAACTTTTGATAAATTTTTGAATTTGTAACAGCTCAAGTCCCTTCCTAGATCTAATATATTCGAAAATAAAACAAACTCTTGAAGAAAATGTAGCTAGGAAGACGACGTCTAATATTTAGCTCACAATGTGATTGTTTGTGGCTTTTGAACGTTTTTAAGACACCTAGAACACCTAGAGAAGGTACTTAAAAATCTCAACCATGATGAAGCTGTCCACAATATTACTTAATTTTGAAAAAAAAAAAAATCACTTTAAATATGCATATGCAATTTGGTTATGGAGAAGACGTCCAAAATGTGATTAATTTGTAATTATTTGTCGTTTTTAATACCTGGAACAACTTACAAATTTGATAGGAAATGTCAGCATTCAAGAAGTTATCCACAACATAAATATTTCTCAGGTCCCTTGTGAGATCATTTTGTTCGAAACTCTGGAAGAAAATAAAGAAGAAAGATGTGGCCATGAAGACGATGTCCAAGATTTAGGGCAAAATAAGAATTTTTTATCTCTTTATTGTTTCTGATATCTAGAACACCTGGAGAAGCCACTAGAAAGGGCCAGCCGTGAAGAAAATGTCCAAAATTTTTTAAATGAATGATTTAGCCTATTTTTTGTTTTATCTACTAATTAAAGATTGGTGATAATTTTTTTATAATTATTGTATTTTTATTTAAGTTGAATATTTTTAGAATATTTTTGTGCTTCTGTACATTTTATTTTTTTATTCAAAATAATTTGGGTAAAGCAATACTTCTAAAAGTTAATAGTATACAACTATAAGATGAGGTTATTATATTGTCATGAGAGCCATTTATGACTACAGCTGTAATTCCTTAAGTCCCTCTTTGCCATATTTGGACCTTTTACGGCATTCATTTTCCCGATACCAAAAATATTCGATGAAATATATCAACCTCCGAAACATCCGTGATACACCTATGTTTCGTATTCGCTAGTTAAAGAAACCGTCTAATACAGGATGCTCCTAGTAAAGGTGTCGATTATTAGTGGAACAACGTCTAGAATTTTCGAGAACAAGTCTGGAGCGTTACATTTGTATATAAATAATAGGCCGTTTGTCGTTAAAAGATTAGATTTAGTCAAGTAATCATTTTGTTCAGATAAGTATTATCAATATAAATTAGTGTATTATATTGTATACATAAATTGTTATAAAATAAACGTTATAATGAAAATAAACTAAAAAAACAAATTTTTTAAATCTATAATATTGGAGATAAGATTCTTTCCCTCTAAGGTACAGATTAAAATTATATTTACCTTGAGCTTTACACAGCAACTCGATAACTTGAAAATTGTCCTTTCCAATGGCATCGTGCAACGCCGTATCTCCATACAGATCAGTACAATTGGGATCAGCGCCGGCAGCTAATAATATCTGAATACATTTGGCGGGTTGTTTATGAGCTGCTATATGCAAGGCAGTGCATCCGCTACGGTTGGCGGCGTTTAATTCGACGCCAGTTTTTACTAGTAAATCTAGCACCTAATTAAACAAATTTATACTAAATATTGATTTAAAACGGCAAAGAAAAAAGAGAAAAACTCAAAATATGTGATACAGAAACAAAGAGCGACCTTTTTCCTCCTGAAAACAATTATTTTTCTGTCTAACACAGCAACAGGTTTTGCATTATATCAAAAGGTAAATAACAATAAAATCATTCTTGGACGGGTTTTGTCCTCATTAGAATTCATCAGCAAGAAATATACAATCTTGATTACAATATTTACACATATCTTACATATTAACAACAAATATTGATTTGTTTAAAAGCTAGAAATCGGCGTATTAGTGTAGTAAAAAATGAGCCAAACAAAATTTAATATAGAATAAATATCTAGTTTTAGGCATTAAAATTTGTGAATTTTAGCACAAAAAACTGTCTCGTGTGTACTCTGTTTTAAGTTATTGACTGACGATAATTTTATTTAAGATTATGTAAAGGATTTTATGTTTATAAAGTGTTTTACCCATAAATATAGAGAGGGGAAGATAGGAAAATGGCTGCCCGGATGGCAAAGAAAAACGTTTACACAAGCGTAAATGTCTAAGTAGATCTGAGTCTGCGCATTAGTTAGAATATTGTGACATTTGACATTTAGTTGTATTGTGATTGTCGTTATTTTTAACAATTTTTGCACGATTTTTTAAGTATTTGTGAGTTTTGGAAAGTTATTTTGATCCCTAAAGACTTCTATAAACAATTGGTTAAAACATGTTTAGTTTTATTGTGTCCAAACCGATGAAATAATTCCGGAAAAGTAAGTTTTTAACACCAATGCAGTTAAACAACAGACCCGTATTTAATTATTTTTGGATGAATCAATTAGATATTTAATTATTGTTCTAGCCCAGTATCTATACTAGGGTTATAATAAAAAACCTTTTATGTACTTATACTTAAGTTAGAACTATATGAAAAACTTTTTTATTATTGGTTTTGTGAAAAGTACTCCTGGTAAAAAGTTCTGCATTGTCCAAAACTTAAAATGCAACCATCAGATATCAATTTATTTAAGCTGAATACGAGGTTTGTCTAAAAATATGAATTTTACTCAAGAGTAAAATATTTTTATTTTTTACAATACAGAAGAACATTATAAAGTAAAGTTATTTTGAATTAAAAGTTATATTCAAATATGCAATTACAGGCATTTAGCATGAAAATTCAGGTGATTATTTACGTTTTACACTATAAATTAATTAATCACCAAACCTGAATTTTAATGCTAAATAACTGTAATTGCATATTTGAATATAACTTTTAATTCGAAATAACTTTACTTCATAACATTCTTCTGTATTGTAAAACATAAAGGTACTTTACTCTTGAGTAAAATTCATATTTTTTGGCAAACCTCGTATACAGCTTAAAAAAATAATATCTGATGGTTGCATTTTAAGTTTTGGACCATGCAGAACTTTTTATTACAAATACATTTTTTTCACAAAACCAATAATAAAAAAGTTTTCCATATGGTTCCAACTTAAATAGACACACTGTATATAACTATTCGTTTTTTTGTTTGTTTTTTAGGTTAGATAAAAGGCTTAATGCAATGGAAGATCCTATAAAGAAAATGTATGTCAAGGAAATATTTTAAAATCGTTCAAGCATCTTGTTTTGAATTCTAATCAATGATAGAACTGTGATTAAAAAGAATGCCACACCTACTTTATTTTTGCCAAGTAATAAAAAAGAACATGTTCCAGCTCATGAACAGAAAATTTCACCAAAGGAGGCTAGGTAAGTTTTATTTCTATTTCATTTAAATATAGGTAATACCTATACGCATGCTAACACTATAATGAAGCCTTCTTTTTTTTAGTAAACTTTTAAAAACCATTGTTTAATAGAATTTTAAGTAGTTCTGAAGAGATCTCCCAAAACAAATTATTGAAAACTAACCGAAACCATTAATTAATGTGTAAGTTACCAGATTGAATGTGTTTCATAATTAGCACGTAGTAATAAATTATAGTTATTCATTTTTATCGGTTTTAGGTTAGATAAAAAAGTATTGGAAGATCACACAAAGAAAATTTTAAAATATGTTCGAAGCATTTTGAATTTTAGTCAGTGATAAAACTGTGATTAGAAGGAATGATACTCCTACTTAATTTTTGCCAAGTAATAATAAAGAGAACATGCTACAGAAGCTCATGCAAAGGAAATTTTACCAAAGAAGGCTAGGTAATTTTATTTCTACTTCATTGAAACATAATGCCTATGCAGTCTATATTATGCCACTGTTTTACAGAATTTTAAGCAATTTAGATAATGGAGATGATCTCCCGAAAGAAATTATTCAAATCTAATCAAAAGAATTCATACTTATGTTTAAGTGACTTAATTGAATGTCATGTACTATTCGTCTCATAAGCTGAGTTTGAATATGCACATCTGATACATTTTTTACCCCTGGAGCATTATTATTTGCTGATTTACATTTACTACATCTGCATTTGCGTTTGTTTATTCGAGATGTAGCTCTCTAGATTATATTTTCTTTATTTAAAATGATATTTTGAGGATTGTCAAACTTGACTTTTTTGTTGTTGGATTCGTTCCATGCCAGGTTCAGTTATAGGTTTATCGATTTATCCTTTGTTTATGCTAGCCATATGCTTATGAATATAAAAGTGAGTATTTGTTTAATTTTTGTTAAGTTTTCAAATTTAGATTTTTTTCTATAATATAGGTATCGCTAACCATCAGTAACTAGAGAGTAGGTATTTTAATTCACAAAATAGTTTTAAAGTAAATAATCATAAGAAAAAATACAAAGACAACTTCTTTTGTATTCATATTATAATGACTCAAAGGTCAAACGCCAAAAGTATAAAACTTGTCATTGTCATTTTTACCACGTGGCCAATACGTCTAGAGTGTTTCTTTCTTAAGTCTAATCTTCTATTACATGATACAAAATTCACAACATCTCATCAGATGCATCCTATGATGAAAAACAAGCACAGCTATAAACATGCAACTATTGGGGAAACACCCCAAAACAGGCACATGGAAAAGCCTTCATAGGCAGACCATGTCCCAAAAGAACTACTCTCAATGAATAGGAACCAGTTGAAAGTGATAACAGGGTTCATGACTGGGCACGCCCCAGTAAAGGGACACTTAAACAAAATTGGCATGTATAATGGGGAACTCATGTGCCGACTATGTCACAAGAAACCAGAAACGGCCAAACACATACTGTGCGAATGCGAAGCTCTAGATCGCAAAAGACAGGCTCTTTTTGGACAACTCCAAGTTGATCCAACAACGTATAGAACCCGCTCACCCAAGGATTTGTACAAACTTGTACAAGGTACAAAGGTGACAGAGTGAGTGCTATAAACTAACATGGGGTAAAACACAATAAGCCAATAGGCTTCAGTGTTATTCGGAGATACATAGTCAGACGAGCCCAGGAAAAAAAAACATGCAAATTTAATCATTATCTAAAATCTTTCCATGTAAATATCTGCAAAAATGGTGTATTTTTTTTTTACAGGAAAGAATCAAATTAATTTTCGTTTATGAAGAGGTTAGAAAATGCACACGAAGGTCAACATTTTATTAAAAGACACCCTAATCGTAATATTAGTCACAGGTATATTCTCGATTTGGTAGCAAATTTTTTGGAAACTGGTTCGGTGAAAAATAGGAAAAGAAATAACTGACGAGTACTAAATGCGGAAGCTCAAATTGAGGTTTTGGGAACATTTGTTACAGTGCCAACCAGCTCCATAGGAACAGTAGCAGAACAGACGGAAATATCCCGAGAGACTGTAAGAAGAGCACTGAATATGCATAAATTTAATCCCTATGAAATGCAGATACTTCAAGAGCTCTACGAAGATGATTTTGATAGAAGAATAGTTTTGTGAAATCATGTCTGCTCAACGCCAACCCTAATCTTCTGCTGAATATCTGTTTCAGCGATGAATCTTCCTTTTTTCTTAAAGACAATATTAATAAACACAAATGTTGGTACTGGAGTGATGAACACCCACATATTTTTCAAGAAAGACATACGCAATTATTGGTTCTTTATTTATTGAAGGAAACTTGCCAGGCGATCTGTCCCTTAATATGCTTGAAGAGACTATTGATCCTCTTATAACTCACGAGCTAGAACCAAACTGATGCTGAAGGTAATTTAGTTTTACAGGAGAATCTGTTACATTTCCAGCAGGACGCTGCTACACCTCATTTTTTCTTCTCGTCTGACAGAGATTTCCAGGCTCTTGGATTAGCAGAAAGGGAGCAATTGATTGGCCCCCAAGATCGCCTGATTTAACTTCCTTAGACTTTTTTCTTTGGGGACACCTTAAAACCGTTGTTTATGAAACACAACCTGCTGATATTGATGATATTAAAAGGCGAATTACAGAAGCATGCCGGTCAATTTCCAGCAAAAGTTTTCCGAAATGTTAGAGAGGAGTTGGGAAACAGACTTTTTACTGTTTACAGTACAATGGACAACTTTTTGAACAGTTTTTAAAATAGTGTACAAGTAGATCCTGTGTTCTATTTTTAAAATTTCTTGTCCATATTAAAAGTCATTTATTTTGTATTCCTCCTGTTATTCAAATCGATAGAATAATTTTTGTTTAGATACTAAACTGAAAACCAAGACTCTCAGAGCAGGCACGTTCTAACTTCTGTGACTTTGAAACGCAAATTTTAGTACCTGTTGGCCAGATGATAATAAATTAGGGTATCATTGAAGAGAATTAAACGCCTTTTAAAATGATATGCCTCTTGACCCCTTTTCCATTTAAGATTTTAAGGGTAACAACTACTCCTCCTAGGGGGTTGAGCCACGAGTTTTTCATTTTTTCATTGTAGGTGTCCTCCTTGAAAATAAAATTAACAGGTTTTTGCGATTTTTCACATTATTTACTGGAAGAAAGATATTTAGTTCGAGAAGTTTTCAGTGTCATCCTGTATGTATATTACTTGTTACCTAAGCACTAATAAAGAAAAAAATGAATACAAAAATTTAAATAGTACCTAAAGGGTTTTTTAATTGAAGACTCTACTCGTTAAATGAATTTATAATTTATTTTTAAACTTTCAATAAATTTTTACGTACCTATGTGAGCATTGTATTGTATTTCATTTATCTATAGCTGATAATGAATATTTTCAACTATGGTTTAATTATTTATTCCTCTTAATAAAAAAGTATTAGTAATTTGCATTTAATTATATGCATATTTTTATTGAATTAGTAAAAAACTGAGTACAATCCTGGAATTATTCAACTGCGCAGACGGTTCACTACCTTGATAGGTCCTCTGTGTATAAACGTTTTCTGAACTGACAGTTCCTATCTCCTCCTCTCCATATATATGGTTTCATCCTTCGTTTATGATGTTGAAGGATAAAAAGGTATACAATACAATAAAAAGAACACTTAATAAGCATGATGATTTGTGATTAGTATGTTTGCAAAGTATTTTCAACAAAAACCAAATATTCCATTAACTTTCATAGTAGTAAATTGTGGGAGCAAAACTGATAGAGATCAAGTCTCTTAATAGTAACAACAAGTCTACATGCAATTGATTTATTTGCTAAAAGGAAATGGATAAACGAGAAGAGTCGACAGAGGAGCAAAATGAAATATGAAAGTAAAGTAAAACAATTTTGTTGCCTTATTTATCAATGTTTTAGGTAGGCATAGTTGTAATATGAAAGCAGCGCAAAAAGAAAAATTGCTCATGTCTGAATTCATGAAGATGTAGAGTATATTTAGTAAAAAATTAAACAAGTTTGTCTAAAATAATAATAATACAGAGAGAGTGATCGTATTACTCAAACTCCGGCTACACCAACAGAAAGATTGGGTCTAAAACTACAAGATGGCAGTGTTAAGTTCATTTTTAACAAAAATTGACTCTGATTTATTTCCCTTATACTCTTCATACGAATATTACATAAAAAATACGGATTTTAGAAGTACAGAGTACCGAAACGTAAAAACTTTTAGATCAATTATTTTATTGAAACAAATTTAGATCCTATATACTTTTTTTATAATAAAATCGCTTACCTCCGGTTGATTTCCGAACGCAGCATAATGTAAACAAGTATCACCGTCATTATCGCTAGCATTAACCGACGGAGCGTATTTTAATAGCATCGCTACGACGTGCGCGTGTCCTTGATGAGCGGCCACCTGTAACGCGGTTTTGCCGCTACTTCGGGCATCCACCGTTTCTCGCGGAGCGTTCTCCAGCAGCCTTTGAACTACGTCCGCATGACCTTGAGCGGCAGCTCTAACTAATTGATCCGCTAGACCGTTGCTTTGGACCTCGGCTTGGTTGGCAGGTGACCATTGAACTAAAACGAAAATGACAATACTCAAAATTGGTAACGCAAAAGGTTTTTTATTGTTTCAAATATAAAATGAGGCTGCTGATTAAGGCACAAGGGACATTATCAGGATAAAAGGGCATATCTGTATTATAAAGAAATAATTAATAACGTACCTTAATACAAGGAAATATAGTCAAAACTTAGATTAAGATTATCTGTATCTACTTTCAGAAACACATATGTAAATATGACTGTACTAATAATGGAATGTGATGATCAAATAAAACTAAAGCTAGCACATTTGCTAAATTTATATAAGTAAGGTGCAGGTACTAGTTTAGGAGCCCACTGTAAAATGTTGGGTCGATCACTAGTATGGCTAAATTTTCATGAAAACGTCGGGTAATATATTGTACAATAGTAATCCGTCGGCAGCCGTCCCAATATCGTTTGCGTTTTACGTTATAAAAAATTATTAACAATTGAAAATATGTGCCACCCTCCACCCATCGCTTTTTTGCCAAATTTTCTACTTAATCGATAGATAGTAGTTAAATATAATTTTCTATACCCGGCTGCCGACCATCATCCTTTGCGTTAAGGGTGGCTGATGGGGCCGAAAAGTACTATATCGATGTTCCTTTTATACACTCATCGCTTTTATAGTCAAACAAAATACCGTTGGAAAGGTCGCAAAATTTCCAACAAGAAAATACCCGGCTGCCGCGCGAAAGCGTTTGCATAACTTAGGCTGCCGCGATTTTGTGCGCGCGCAAGATTCGATCACGTATGAAATCAGCGTTTTAGATAAAATACATGTTAAAATCAAAATGTCATGGTAGAAGTTTATATTTTTTAAATTTGACTTTTGAGACAAAAAATCAACCTAAATTTGAAATCTAAACAAAAATTAAACACACTAATCACTTTTATATTCACGTTATAATAAAAAAAGGATAAATTAATCTTGTCTTCACAGAACACCTACTTTCTGGCATGGAACAAACATCTCATTCACATCTCATTTCAAATCGAGATGTAAAAAAATGTAATCTGGACAGCTATATCTGGGATAAACAAATACAGATGTAGATGTAGTAGGTAGATGTTTCCGATGTGGATAAACAAACGCTCGAGATGTTAAAAAATGTATCGCATGTGGATATTCAAACCCGGCAATAATCCTATTTTTTTTATGGCCTGTACATTAATTGAATTCAACAATAGAGACAGTTTACGGTAAAGCCAGACATATTATTTTCTTGTTAAAAACGTACACGTTTTAAAAAACAAATGCTCATCGAACGCCAGTCACGGATATAGATTTCAAAAACTACTCGCTTTTGAACCACACACTTTCGAAAAAGGTTCGTTTTTTAGGGATTGTCGAGGATAGCCGCACTGGTTTTTTTTGTATGCAAAAATGACGGTAACTTCTTGAAATGCAGCGACGAAATTAAAAAAAACCAGTGTACTAGAATTTCGCAAAGAAAAAAATTTAAATACGGAAATTTGTTGTCTAAACCAATATGACGCCGAATTTCAAAGAAAATAACAACTTTGAACCCAAAATACCGAGATGAACTTAAACTTGAAAATATTAATTTGCAAGCAACTGTACGTATTGACTTTTTATGTGATTATAAATCTATCTACTGCATTAAATGCAGATTAAATGAAACAAATAAAAATTAAGTGGTTGTGGAATTGCCCGTAAGAAAATAATTGTATTTCGAAAGAAATGAGTATTTATCAACGAGAACAAAATTATCGAGCAATATGACAACGGTGTCTATTCCGGTGTCGGGACAGATGCGCCCTCGTACATTTGAGCCCCCGATACATTTCAGCCCCTGTCTTGATTTTTCGAATAATGATAAAATTTAAGTGAGACAGTTGCGACCCTACCCCTATTAATCCCAAACAGAAGTCGAATGATGAAAGTAGATTTTTTGGTTTACTGATATATACAGGGTGTTTCAGAGTTATAAGTATATACATTAACTGTAAGTGTAAGACACTTGGATGATTCGAAATCACCCATTAATAATATCACGTCTCATTACCTAGAATGAATTTATAAATTTCTCCTGGATTTTTATTTCATCTTGTCTTTTTAATATTTTCTAAACAGAATAAATAGATGTTTGAAATAAAGTAAAAAGTAATTGTTGCTAGGCAACACATTACAGTATCTGATACTGTTAAGTTCCATTTCCCGGAAGCAAATGAGAAATATATTTGTTAGTAATACTGATATTTAATTGTGAAAAAGCAACAATTATCTTTAAAAGAAACTATAAGTAGATTTGCTGGACAGAATGAAATAAAAATTTTTGTTTGGTTTACTGACATTATATAACTTCCCTTCATACTTTTTATAGGCTGAGAACTGTCAACATAGATATGCCGCCGTGTTTATAAAGATATATCCAGTGGATATTGTCAGTTTTTTTTTAATTTTTTTTAATATTTTATTTTTTTTGTTTTTTTTTTTTATTTTTTTTGTAATTTGCAACGATAATAGCTTGTTTATATAAATATAATTAGGGTTACTTTAAATCTTTTGATAGATTATGTGATAATACTAATACCCATGATTGATTTTAATATTACTAAGAATATAAAAAGCTATTACTTGATTTAATCCTTTTAATAAGTAAATATATAGTATATAAAATGTTGACAAAATGTGGAAATGTTTAGGTGCATTTAGTATCTGTGCAAGGTGTGACACATTTCAATTTTGAACTCATTTACTTCCGGGAAATGGAACATAACAGTATCAGATACTTTAATGTGTTGCCTAGCAACCTAATTTTTATTTTAGAAACAATTATTTTTTACTTTATTTCAAACAGAAATATTTCTATCTTACCTATTTGACAGTAAATAGCAATCATGCTTAACTATGGAAACAATGGCTCAATTGCAGTTAAGGTAATATAAAATGTAAAATTGCTAACTATTTTTTTTTTAATTTTAATTAACATCTATTTATTCTTTTTAAAAAGTATTATAAAGGCAGGATGAAATAAAAATCCAGGCGAAATTAATAAATTTATTATTAATAGGTGATTTCAAATCATCCAAGTGTGTTACACTTACAGTTAACGTATGTACTTTTAACTCTGAAACACCCTGTATATATCAGTAAACCAAAAAATCTACTTCTGTTTGGGATTAATAGGGGTAGGGTCGCAACTATCTCACTTAAATTTTATCATTATTCGAATAATCAAGACAGGGACTCAAATGTATCGGGGGAGCAAATGTACGGGGGATCATCTGTCCCGGATTCTCTATTCCGATATCAATTACTCAGAAAACGATTATTCTGAGGAATTTAGTGTATATTCTTAAACTTATTTTTTCACATTTTGTTAAATTTAACGATGTATAATTTTATAAATTGCAAAAAACAAAACAAAATTAAGACTTCTCTATTTTTTTACCTCTCTTGAACATTAATAACTTTCTCTGCTTTAGATATATAGGGACGTTTTAAGCATAACTAAAAATAAAAACAATAAAAAAACAACACATAAACCATATATTTATAAAAACAACAGAATAACAAATATTTAAAGAATACATGAAAGCGAGACGCTCTAGCTTTAATCGTAAACTCGCGTGTTCCAATCAGAGACAATAACAGATGTCAAATAAACGTCAGCTGTGCGCACACTCCCAAACTCCTTATCTAAAGCGCGGATTTCATACGTGATCGAATCTTGCGCGCACACAAAATCGCGGCAGCCTAAGTTATGCAAACGCTTTTGCGCGGCTGCCGGGTATTTTCTTGTTGGAAATTTTGCGACTTTTGCAACGGAATTTAGTTTGGCTATAAAAGCGATGAGTGTATAAAAGCAACATCGATATAGTACTTTTGAGCCCCATCATCCACCCTTAACGCAAAGGATGATGGTCGGCAGCCGGGTATAGAAAATTATATTTAACTACTATCTATCGATTAAGTAGAAAATTTGGCAAAAAAGCGATGGGTGGAGGGTGGCACATATTTTCAATTGTTAATATTTTTTTATAACGTAAAACGCAAACGATATTGGGGCGGCTGCCGACGGATTACTATTGTACAATATATTACTCGACGTTTTTATGAAAATTTAGCCATACTAGTGATCGACCCAACATTTTGCAGTGGGCTCCTAAACTATACTGAATGCAGCTATTACATAATAAACGTTTTATTAAAGAATTGACAAAATATAAAAAAGTGTGATGTCCTTTATAAGCCAAATATGACTGTATTCCACTCATATGATTCATTATTGGAAATATATCTAAACCAAAATTAGATGTAAGCAAACTAGAACTTACTTGAAGGTTCTTGTCTTTGATTTTGTACGGCATGCATGGTATTTGCGAGCTCGGCAGCACTTCCCGGCACTATTCTCACGCAGTGCGGATGTAACGTCCAAGCATGTCCTTCCAATTGAACTCGTAAGTCACCATCCGAATACACTTTGAGTACTTTACCTAATTTTCCCAGAGACTGAAATATAAAGTAATCATTGAGAATATAAAAGTTGGACAGACAAAACTTAAGAGAATGTAGTCAACAATTTTAAATAAAAGAAAATAAAGTAGTTGGCCTATTAGCAAATCAAATTTTGTATTAGTTTTACAAAGAAAGTTTATAAATAAAAAATTCTTGGTTTTCAGAAGTATTTTAATAGACGTTTCTTATCAATTACCTATTGACAAATAGATGTTCAGAAGCATTGTATATTATATCAGTATTCCCCTTATAATGTGAGGAATATGATCAAACGTATCATACAACCAGAAGAAAACCATGTTATCTAATAATTTATAATTTTTGTGCCTTATTTATTATAACCTATAGCCACAAAACTAATTTTGTCTTAAAGTAGACGCCTAGACAGCGTTGTTTCTAAATAAGACATAAAAAGTACAAATTACTAAACTCAAACAAATAATGATTGAGAGTGAACCGTGTTGTCATATCTCAATTTTACCTTACTAGTTTTTAGCAGAATCAAAATAGAGTAAGTAGTAGAGTTATAAGTTGTGGCAAATTATAGATAATATACAATCATAGTACTAATAAAAGATACTAATTATAACAAAAATCAGTAATGAGTAATACTTATACATTTCTTGATCATTTAAAATTAATTATTTTATGGATTGTTCAGTATTTGTTACAACTAATGGCATCGGTGTACGGAGCGATATTTGTGTCTTTGTCTGTTACGCGTAAAATCCATCTCGTCGATGACGTTCTCAGTAGTGTATTTCTAACCACGAGCGTAACATCGGGTTTTGAATTATACGGTGTGAATTGTAAGTTTTACAGTTAAGTTAGTAAGTAATCGACGTGTTGTAAGAACAATTGGTGAAAATATTAGTGCTAATAAGTGTTTAAACATTAAATAATAATATTTCTACACCGTTCTAAAACTATGCAAAAAATGGAAGACATTGAAGGGCCTTCAACGTCGAAAAAGGTAAAACGGTCGAAGTCTCGGTCGCTAAGTGAATAACAAATTGTACTTCGAGTATTTCACTGTCTTGAAAGAGATCATCAGCGACCAAAAGATAACTTAGTGCATATGTGCTGTAATTCTACGGATGTACCTCCGAATAACCAACCGGGCGTTCCAACATCATTAACTTCCACAATTACAAAAGATAAATTAGTTGATATGTGCTCTGATTATACGGGTGTACCAAAATCATCAGTTTACAAAATACTAAGAGAAAACAAAATTCATGGGGAAGTACAAACGCCAAAAACTAGTAGCGGAAGAAAAAAAATCACAGTTGATGAAGAAGCCAAAAACAGTATACGCACAACTATTCACAGTTTCTTTTTCAGAAATGAGCTGCCCACTTTGCAAAAATTTCTGGAGGCAGTTAGCGATCATGAATTGGTCCCACAAATGAGTAAAGAAACTTTGAGGAAAATTTTACACGAAATGAAATTTACGTACGGAAAAGTCGACAGGAAAAGCATTCTCATTGAACGTCAGGAAATAATAGTATGGAGAAGAAATTATCTCCGAAAAATTGAGGAATTTCGGAATATCAAAAAAAAAATTTACTACATGGATGAGACGTGGGTTAACCAAGGACATACGGTCAAAAAAGTATGGCAGGATGGTCATATAACAAGTGCACGACAAGCCTTTATTGAAGGCTTGTCAACTGGGTTAAAACAGCCGTCTGGAAAAGGTAGTCGTCTGATAGTTACGCATATAGGAAGCGACAGTGGATTTTTACCAAATGGTGAATTAATATTTAAATCCAAGAAAACAGGCGACTATCATGAAGAGATGAATGCGGAGGTGTTTGAAAAATGGTTTGAAGGCATCATTCAACTTGTGGATACTGGGTCTGTCGTCGTCATGGACAATGCCCCATATCATAGTCGGTATTTAGAATCATTACCGAAACAATCATGGAAAAAACGAGCAATTCAAGAATGGTTAATTAATAAAAACATCCAATATAAAAAAGATAGTTTAAAGGCAGAACTACTTCAGTTATGTGGCACGAGAAAACAGAACATTTAAATTAGTGGACGTGCAACGTTACCTACAAGAAGCCATTCAAAATGTTTCTGCAGAAGACTGGAAGCAATGCATTCAGCATGTTTTAAAAGAAGAGTAAAAAATGTGGGACGTAGACAACCGTATTGAACACAATATTGAACCAATCATAATTAACTTTGATGATAACGGTAGCAGCAGTGACGAATCTGAGGTTGAAGATTAGAAGAAAATTTGTACACAAAAAGAAGTCTATATATTTAGGTATAATTTTTATTTTTACCATTCACTATTACCATTTAGAAATTATTATATAAATTTGTATTTTTAATTCCTGTACACAGACATGAACAATTTCTCAGCAGGATACAAATGTTTATTTATTTAATTATTATTATTGTATCAATTTGTACATTGTTACATAAATTTGAAATAAACATTATTATTATTATGTTTGGCGGTCAAGAAAACATAATCCTGTAGGTTATATCCAAACTAATTATCTTACTTAGGGATTTCCGAAATGATAGGTGCGTGTAAACTTTTATGATTTAAGTACCAATCAAATAGTAATTTAAGCTTTATAATGTCTTCTAATGTTGGCCGAACCCAATTAGGGTTTCTTGGGTAAGGCTGGCTAGTTTCGAGGAACTGCAGGTAAACCGAGAGAGAGAGAGAGAGAGAGAGAAAGAGAGAGAGAGAGATATGCTTTATTGTCATTGAAAAATTACAAAAAATTTATAGACAAAGCGAAGTAAATTAAAAACTAAATATAATATAAAAAGATTAAAAAATATAAAAATTTAAAAATAACTAAACAAAACAAAATAAAAATATCAATTGCATTGGATATGCAATATCCGTCATTATGATTTTAATTTAAAATTTAAGTAATACTTCTGTATGTGTAACCCAAGAAGAAACTTAAGAGACAGTTCCTTACTGACTTCGGCCGCGACATAATATATAAATATACGTTAATTTGTGAAATAAAGTTTAATTCATTATTAAAATAGTAAAATTGATAATATTGTTTCTGTCACCAAACCAACCCCTGATTAGGTATCTTTCTTATTTTTAATTTGAAATATATATTGTGATTTTTATTAATATTCTTAATTTGGTTCCTACTATAATTACCACAATTATTACTCCGTTTTCATAAAGCCCCACTAATGACTACAACGATTAGGTAAATTACGATATTGCAAAGTTTTCATGAAATAAATAAAAGAAATTGTATGAATATTTTAAATAATTGTACCCTCTCAAAAATAATAAGCACGCCTCCGATTTGGTCGTATTTCTACCTGCTTTCACTCTCAATCATTATTTGTTTGAGTTTACTTAATACAGTTTTCTATAGAATGTGCGATATATTATAATTGGTACAATAATCTCTATCACTAAATTAATATTGTATCTACACGAAATATAAAGTAAGTTTTATAATTCTAAGCACTTACATTTCTCATAATTTCTATCCATTCACCATGTCCTTTTTGAAGTTCCTTGACTTTTTCGACATCACTTATCAAAGTAACAATATCTCCGACAGCAAAACTGTTTACCTTGTGCAAAGCGATCGGATTAAAAGTCCATCTGTTGTTGCAACCTTCATATTGAACCCTAATGTCTCCTTTGTCGGTTACTCTGTGAACTGTACCGATTTTACCAATGTACTAGAAAAAAGTTATTGTTATATGAATATTTAAGGGTGTAATTGTTTATTTTATAAATTATGGTCAAAATGTCTAATTTTTTTTTACATTCTTTAATAATTGAATAGTTTGAAAAGAAACAAATCTCAAAAATCCCCCTACGAATGTATTTGGTCTAAAAAGGGGTCTGTATATATTAGAAAAGACGAGGGAGAATTAATCATAAAAATAAAAAACTATTCACAGATTGACTTATTGTTAAATCCTTAATTTTTTCTTAATTAAGACTATTTGAATTTCATACAAGTGGATCCAATTAATAAATTGTTTGTGCTGCTAATGTATCTAATAAAATTAAAATAAATGACAAACTTTTAAATGTACTATATCTCAACCCTAGAAGTATTAAAAATAATTTTGACGAACTATTAATATTCCTTGAGTGCTTTCAAATAAAATATTGTGACATAATAGTACTAATAATAATAATGTTTATTCAAAAAAAGAAATATAAATTACAATTACATAGTTAATTTAAATATAAACATTGGTAACTTGCTGAGGCATTGTAATGCCTGTGTGCGAGCTAGGATATTTTAAATTTTTTTTTTTAACACAAATAAAATTCGATATAGAATAATAAATAAATAGATAAATTCATGATAAACAAATAATGAAACAAGTAACAAAGCATATAACATAAAACAAGTAATAAAACAAATAATAGAACATAATAAGCAGTAGAACAAATAGTAACAGGGAGATAAAATATAGACATATTCGATATTTAATTCATAATGAAATATAGTTATTAAGTATTATTTTTTTTTTTTAATTTTTAAAGTGGAAAATTTATTAATTATAAAATATTTTAGATATCTTAAATCAATTAGGCTATTAAAAATATATCTGTTATTACTTGCTATCCAATTTTTTATAGTATATTTATAACAGGAAAGTTCATTAATATCCTTAATGTAATCTGGTAACATATTGGATAATCTTGGAGCAAAATAATTGGTACAGCGTTGACCAACAGTCTTTGAAGTTATTGGAAGGTAAGTGCATTTACCTCTAGTAGGGTAATTTTGTTGAGGAGAAGTTACTTGGATTTTTCTTTTAAAAGTGTTTAAAAGAATGTTTTGGCAGTATAGCTGTCTCATATCAAAAAATGTACTTTCACTGAATAATGCGTCACTCGGATAAGTTACAGGTTTTTTAAATAACGCTGAAAGAGCAACACAAAACTTTATTGAAAAGTTAACAAATACAATTGAAAGTTGTAAAACTATAAAAAGTATGAAAATCCAAACAAACAGAAAGATAAAATCCTGGATAACAAACGGATTAATAAATTCAATAAAATTTAGAGACAAACTTAAAAGGAAATTACAAAAAATTATTCTGTTGAAAAAGAAAGCGAATATAAAGTGTTTAGAAATAATTTAAATAAACTAATAACAAAAACAAAAAATGATTATTATATAAAAAGAAATAGTCCATATTAAACATGACTTGAAAAAAACATGGGTCATTCCACGTCAAATCGACCAATAGTTGGAATCGACCCCTTTCGATTTGGACGAATTTTGGTCAGAAGTTTTCTTTTGTCCTATTATGAAGTTATGCCACAGGAAAAAAATTAAAAAAATGTTTTTCAAGAGTTATGGAGAATTCAAAATTTCACTATTTTCCATGTTTTTTAAACTTATGTTTTAAAAATCTCGAAAACTATTGCAATTAAAAAAATCGTTTGGGGTCAGTTTTAAATGGGATACTTGGGGCTATAAAAAAAAAATTGCCGAAAAAAAATTTTGAAAAATCTTCAAAATGTGAAATTTTGAATTTTTGAAAATTGTCAAAATTGACGATCGACAATAAATTTTTGGCTCAATTTTTTTTGTATACTAGCTTGTACCAATCTTAAAAGATCCTGAAATTTTTGGAACTGTGTTTTTTGTTTTTTCAAAAATATGAATTTTTGAAATTAGTTAAAAACATTTTTTTTCTTAAATTTTTTTTTTTTTAATTTTTGTCTTAATTGAGTTTTGCAAATCGCGTAATTTTGTTATTTTGAACAATTGAAATTTCTTTCAGTGGCATAATGATGAGAAAAAAAACTTCAATGACAATTTTTGAGATCAATTTCAAAATCAAACTCGTAAAAATGATGACAGTGGCACCTGTATTATCATTTGATGTTAAAGTAGAAACGGGGGGTGACATCTATGATGTGACGTTTGAATCTCCACGTCTAAGATGAAGTTAATCTTTCTGAGTTTAGTTACGAAGACAGTCATCATTCTCAGTAACTGTATAGAAATAACTCTTTCTTCAAATTCTAAACTAATGACAATCATCTTATCAAGTCTTAAATTCGAGGACATTATCTAGTTAAAATTTTGAGTGCAGAACAGATAAAAAATTAGTGATGGAAAATAAAAAGTGTTCGATTGGATTATTCAAGGATGAAATATGCTCTGAGGAAAAATTTATTGATTGCAAAAATTTTTCTGACGAAGATCAGATTGCTTTGAATTCTAGAAGTGGTACAGAAGTTAGTTTTATTTGCCCTGAACATGACAAGCGGTATCGTATCAATTATACTTCAAATCAAAGAGCTTGTGCTGATCCCTGTAACCTTCATGACAGTATAGTTCGTAAATCTTTGAGACCAGTCAGTTTAAAATTGTTTGAACAGTGTAAGGTTAGTGTACCTTCCATTATACCGGGAAGTAAACTATGCATTTCGTGTACTAAAAGAGTATAGCGAATTACCAGAACATCAAAATATAGTTAAAACAGTTGAAAAAACTGTGAATATGGAAAAAAGTCAAGCAGTTAAGAGTGTCTCTGAAGATTCCGTCTTCAAATCATCGAAACCATCTGAAACACCTGACCACTATTCATTCAAAGCCTGGTCGACGAAAAAATGTCCTCTAATTTATCTGAGAACTTGCAGTTGTCAAATGTGACAACTTCAACATCTGAAATGTGCAGCTCAAGCAGTGAAACTTTTACACCTACTGAAATACATCTAGATCGCCTCAATTCTACTGCCAGAATTTTTAATTTATCTCCTATTAAGAGAAAAGATTTAGATAGATCAAAAACATACGCTCAACGGAAATATCATGACATGACGTCGAAACTGCAATCATGCTTTGAACATCTCATGGAAAATGATTCTGACCTAATTAAATATAAACAATTGAACATTGACGATACTCCTGAATTAACCGGAAAAGAAATAATAAGTCAGCTAAAAGAAAAATATAATAATTGCAGCAAAGTGAGTGAAAAATTACAGATTTTATCTATTTTGCCTTTAAGTTGGTCGACAGAAAAAATTGTTGATGCTTTTGGAGCATCTACATATATGGTGAAAAAAGTAAAACAGAAAGTCAGTGAAGACGGTATTCTATTCACTCCGCAAAGAAACAAAGGTCATTCATTATTAAAAAGTACTGAAGAGAAAATTCAACAATTTTATCGAAACCAAGATGTAAGTAGAGAATTACCTGGTAAACAAGAATATAAATCAGTTCATGAGAATGGTCAACGGGTACAAAAACAGAAACGGCTAATTTTGGGTAATTTAAATGAAATTTATCAATTGTTCAAGCAGAAGTACCCATTTGAAAAAGTCAGTTTTTCAAAATTTGCTAGTCTAAGACCCCCCCGAATGTGTTCTAGCTGGTTCATCTGGCACTCACGTAGTTTGTGTCTGTCTCATTCACGAACATTTTAAACTGTCATTTCATTGTGCAAAACTTGAAAGTCAACCGGCATTTTCTTCATATCGAGATTGCTTAAAAATGGTTATTTGCCCTCAACCTACGAGTGACTGCTATTTGGGAATCTGTAGTAACTGTCCTGACTCGACAAAATTAAGAAGAACGATCGAAAGTATTTTCAATGATAACTTTGTAGATGAAGTAACGTACAAACAATGGACTCAAGTAGATCGATGTTCTTTGGAAACGATTGTGAAATCAATTTGGATTTAAAGATTAAAGTTATATTAACATTTTTCAGATTAAGAAAAAGAAAAGGAGCAACAACAGTACAAGGAGGATTAAAGAAAAAAAACGACTTTCATAACAGAATGTAAAGTAAACTTACACTTGTATTGCCCTATTAAATAAATGAATAACCAATAATAAACAAAGATCATTAATGTTTTTTTTTCTCATCATTAAGCCACTAAAAGAAATTTCAATTGTTCAAAATAACAAAATTACGCGATTTGCAAAACTCAATTAAGACAAAAATTCAAAAAAAAAAAATTTAAGAAAAAAATTTTTTTAACTAATTTCAAAAATTCATATTTTTGAAAAAACAAAAAACACAGTTCCAAAAATTTCAGGATCTTTTAAGATTGGTACAAGGTAGTATACAAAAAAATTTGAGCCAAAAATTTATTGTCGATCGTCAATTTTGACAATTTTCAAAAATTCAAAATTTCACATTTAGAAGATTTTTCAAAATTTTTTTCGGCAATTTTTTTTTTTTGTAGCCCCAAGTATCCCCTTTAAAACTGACCCCAAACGATTTTTTTAATTGCAATAGTTTTCGAGATTTTTAAAACATAAGTTTAAAAAACATGGAAAATAGTGAAATTTTGAATTCTCCATAACTACTGAAAAAAATTTTTTTAATTTTTTTCCTTTGGCATAACTTCATAATAGGACAAAAGAAAACTTCTGACCAAAATTCGTCCAAATCGAAAGGGGTCGATTCCAACTATTGGTCGATTTGACGTGGAATGACCCACATATAAATTGATTTCTGAAGCGAATTACGAACAACCTAAGAAAAGTAATAAACTATTACATATAGTCAACGAACAAAATGAGCAATTTGCAAATGACATAGAAATGGCTGACTATTGTAATAATTATTTTTCCTCCATTGACATCGAAATGTTTGAATAAATCCCTGAATGTAGCACACAATTTCCTATTAATGTGACAAACAAATCAATGTTCTTAACACCAGTTTCCGAAAATGAAATTATT